CCCCCCCTGCCGCTGAGTAAATGGTTTTTATTTTTGTATGGATGGCTGCATGGCCTGTTGCATGTATTGTCTCTCCTCGGGTCTCCCCCTGCACCCCTCCATGCCCAGCGCTTGTGCCCCCCGCTTCTGCCAGGTGCCCCTCTGGCCCTCCTGCCAGACCCTCCCCATGGCTCTGCTGCCTGCCTTGGGGTGTGGGGTGCAGAACTTGGGACCTGGCCTCCAGGACAGGCACAGGGCGGACCCTGCGCCTCATCTGAGCAATAAAAGGATTCTGTCCCAGAGATGGATGCCTCTCTTCATGGGCCTGGGGGCTGGGATTTGGCTCTGTGCAGAGCTGGGAAGTGATGGGGGGCGCTGCCATCTGGGTGGGGACACTCGAGGATTAGATGAGGGAGCTGGGAGAGAGACTTGAGGGGGGCTGTGAGCTCAAGGCTGGGACTCTGCAGGGCCAGGAGCAAGACCCTAGATGAGATTTCCCTCGTAGATGGTTGGAGGACATCATACAGACTCGGTTGCTGGGGCTTGGGGGAACAGGACTGCTGTGGGACCTGAGCACCATTCCTTGGGAAGCCAGGGTTCCCCTGCTAAGTGCCAGGGTGGACTCCTGGTGACACTTGGTGTCTTACTGCATCTTTTCATCTGAAGACCACTGTGCCACAGTCCCATGGAACAAGCCCCAGAGAGTTTGGGTGCTTTACACTATGACAACTGCTAGCAAAGCCCTGCCCGGGAGGCTGGTGCCTTTTGCCATATGATGGCCACAGGCTATGACACCTCCCTGCAGCACAGAGAGGGGGTTGGCTGGCATGAGCAGTTCAGGGGCAAGTAGGCAGGAGAAGGGAACAGAGCTGCAGCATAGGGCAGAGGGGTGCTGCGGTGCTGGGGGAGGTACTGCATCCTGCTCACCCTTCCTTGCAGCATCCTCAGTACCTAGGTACCCAGGCCCAGCACCACAGGGGATGGGGATGATGTGAGCATGCAGAGCACTCTGCTCCTCAGCCTGACATTGGCTCAGGGCTCTCCCTCCCTGCTTTTGAGCTTTGGCTGTGCCCTGACACTGCCTTGTGTGTCTGGGGCTACAGCTGTGTCCTGCTCCCCCTGCCAGACAGATTTCAGGACCTGGGTCTGCAGAGCAATCCCAGTGCCCTGGCAGCATGGAGCAGATGCTGCCACGCATGACTCAAGGGCACAAGTGCTACCCCCAGTGAGATGGTGGCTGGTAGAACAGGCACCCAGGGAGGCTGGATTGGTGGCTGGGGGTGTGTAAGGGACACATGCACACTGGGGATGCCAGGGGAGGGTTATCCCTAGGTGGGCAAAGCCAGGCAGCCTGGCAGGGTCTCTGTGTGTTGTGGAATGGTGATGCTGGGGGTCTGTCAGGTAACCCTCGTCTCCTCTCTCCCTGTACAGAGCACTCAGCCGCTGCGAAGACAGGGGGCTGCTTCCCTGGGCGGGCGCTGGCAACGCTGGAGGATGGTGCGCGGACACCACTGTGGGCCCTGCGCCCAGGCCAGCGTGTGCTGGCAATGGACGGGGCAGGCAGACCCACCTACAGTGACTTCCTGACTTTCCTGGACAAGAAGCCCCATGCCCTCGCCTCCTTCCACGTCATTGAGACACAGGAGCCGCCGCGACGCTTGGTGCTGACACCCACCCACCTGCTCTTTGTGGCTGAGAACTCCTCGGTGCGCCCCACCTTTGCCAGCCATGTGCGCCCTGGACACTTTGTGCTGGTGGTGGCAGAGGGGGGTGGCTTGCAGCCTGCCAAGGTGGTGGCAGTGCGGGACCGCAGGGATGTGGGCACCTATGCCCCGCTGACGCGTCATGGGACGCTGGTGGTGGACGGTGTGGTGGCCTCATGTTTCGCCCTGGTGCAGGAGCAACATCGTGCCCTGCTGTCTTTCTGTCCACTCCGGCTCTACCACAGCCTCGTGGGGTGGCCAGGGGTACAGGGGGATGGCGTGCACTGGTACTCAGGGCTGCTCTACCGCTTGGGAAGGGTGCTCCTGCCCCCTGACAGCTTCCACCCACTGGGGGTACCCGAGATGGAAAGCTGAAGGTGCATCCTGGCCAGTGCTGCTGGTGGAGGTGGTGGCTGCAGGGCAGC